CACATCTTTCATCTTGCCTTAGCAGAGGAGGCACTGAGGTCTTGGTCTGAGTAACATAGTACTTCCACTGGGGGTAGGCTGAGAACTTCAGGCTTTTTTAAATTTTAAACAAAAATGTTTTTTTTATAAAATTGAGCCTCTCGATCTGTAATGCATCCAAACCGATCTGCAAGACTGCCAAGCACCCAGTGGCTTCCACCAAGATCCACACTGACTGGAATTCAAAGATATTAGGGCCAGAGAGATCCTGTACAAGCATTTAGTTCAGCCTTCCCCATAAAATAAATCCATGCAATAATTCCTGTATCAAGTCCACAGCTTAAGCCGTAACATATATTTTTAAAAGATGTCTAGCTTATATTTATACAATTCAAGCAGTGTAGACTCCATTATTCCTTTAGGTAATATACTGCAAAGATCATTATGTGCAGCATAACTACATAGCTCTTATCATAAGCCTCATTTGCTCTGCCTCTGGAAATCATTGCACTTCTTTCTGGTAGACTAGAAAGCCACTGGGCAGCAGCAATGTCCTCCTCATGGAGATGCAAATGGCCCACAAGCATCTCACTCTTTGCTCTTTTCTGAGATACACTGACAAAATGTATTTTTTAGACCTGGAATCACTGTTACAGCCCCTCTTCAAGCTGAGGAAAGGGAGAGGAGAGGAGAGGAGAGGAGAGGAGAGGAGGATTACATGTCAAAATTCAGGCTAAGAGAATAAAATTAAGCTGCAGACTGTCATAAGCACTTTTCCCTCTGAGTGCATATTGACTGCGTCAAGTGAAAAACAAGCATTTAAAAAGAAATACAATTTTAAGTCAATGACAGATATGACTCCAGTATACATTGGGTATGAATAATTCTCATTTCTTACCTCATTTCACTATCCTTCCTCAGTCTCATATTATCCAAGAGGACTATCCTATAATCCTGCCCATGCACACTTGCCAAGTCTCCAAATAGCTTTAAAAAACCCCACTGATGAGAGACCACCAACTTTACAGGTTCTTGCAACTCCCTCTGTACATTTTATGGGCATTTAGCAATGCTACAGGGTTTTCCTAATGCTGGAGAAATTTCTTTCCTCTTCACTAATAATAGACATGTGTTTCAGCAGCCTTTTCTCACTTTTTCTTCTTCTGCCTATATTGTCAAATTGCTGATTTTTTAAGATGTATTTTTCATAGAACTATAAAAACAGTGCATTTTTTCTTTTTTCTTTTTTCTTATTCTTTTTTTTTTTTTCCCAGATTAGAGACTGGACAAACTTTTAGCCTGCCAAGCTTTTTTTTTTATTTCTTTTTTTGTTGTTGTTTAAATACTTCACAACAAAAGAATGTGCTCCTGATGGAATTTTTATTGCAAAAAAGAAAAGTTCTCCCCCTCTCCTTTCTTATATCTGCACAACACATACTGAAATTCTGCAACCTCCCAAGAAAGACGGCTGCCTGAATGCTGTCAAACTATTAACGATAATGTCAGGGTACATGACACGTATTTAAACATTAGAAGAAGAAGGATTAAGGCTGCATCTCAATCTCGCTTTGATGACTCAACTTTACATTGATATACTCAGCATGCCACTTGTGATCAGACTTCTGGTTTTGCTCTTCAACAGCACTTTAAAATAATTCCTCTTGCCTAAGGAGGATGTTGGAAAATGTACATGAGAGTAAACGTTCCATTTTAACAAGTGCAGAGCTCTGGTTTTTCACAGGATTTGGAAGTATGGTCTGGTTTCCAGAAAGTACAAAGCTGTCACCAGCTGAATCGCCTTTCAGAAATGCTCAGGATGCTTTCCTGGGGAAGATGTCCTGTCCTTCAGGCTCTGCTTTGGTCACATCTCCCTGGCACCCACCTGCGGCATGTCTTTCCCCTATCCTGGGCACTGAAGACAAGCCTTTCAAACACCCCAAACTGCACTTACCACTAAATCTTGCCACTTAGTAGATTGTTTCCAGTTCCTTTTCCTTTCTACTTATTTATCCTTTAAAAAAATGTATCATCTGAAGACACAGTTTCAGGGGTTTCGCAGTCATTTCTTTCAATCACATCAATTTTTAGCAGAGTGGGGAGTTGCCCAATGAGGTGTTTCATCCACTAGCAGAAGGCAGAGACCGGTTTAGGGCATGGTGCTGTAGTGTCAGGGAGAGTTCAACCCTGTACTGGATGGAGCTAATCCATGACTCAGAGCTGGAAAAGGGAGGCAATGGGAGTACGGTGAGAAGGAGGCTGCGATGGGACTGGCACCAGACCACCAGCTTGGCTCTGCCATAGATGAAAACTCCCCCTTGTGTGTGTCTATGCCCTGCAAGTACCACAGGACTGCTAAAAACTGCAACTCTGAGTGCAGACAAGGCTGACATTAAGTGGTCTGCAGAAGAGAAGGGTCAGAAGTTTTGCTACAACTCATAACCACAGTCCTGTTACTCTGCACTTCGCCCCCCAAGGCAGGCAGTTCCTTTCATCTGTTTTTTGCCCCATGCCATCATTTTGGCATGTAGGTACCACACAGCAGAATGCACATGGCACTGAGCAGCCAGCAGAGCCCAGAGGTTTTCTTGCATTCAGTCACGAAAGCCACGTTGCTCTGGTGGCATGGCATGAGGCCATGCTGCTCCTAGCCCGAATATCAATGCCAGAACAGCCCCGCTGCTTTGATTTCCAGAGGCAAGGTGGTCTCTGTGAGCTCAGGAATTACTGCCCATCTCCAGTGCACGTGGAAAGGAAGCCAATGGCTCTGGGGCTACCACAGCTTGTGCTGAAGGGGAGGGTTTACTCTGCAGGAAACTCATCCATGCTTAATTTAAAGGGTAACTTTCAGCTAAATAACTTCAGGGCTAGAAGAGGTTGCATGGACCCTTTCATTGCAGTTTAATTCTCCCTCCCTTCAGATTAGTCTCAAGCAACTTTTAGTTTCAACTCCCTCCAGGGCAAACAGGAGCAACCCGACGGGATGATACCAAGAGATTCCACACACAGCGTGCAGGGCTTCAACTAACGAGGTGAAAGCAGGTTAATGCGCTGGGTGCAGGTCCGTGCACACACAAGGTCTGTGCTGCACGGTCGGCAGCTGTCGCTGATGGATCCTCTGCGAACAGGGCACAGACAGGGACAGGCTACATGCGCCACGCGGTTTGTCACCCTGAGGGACAAGGGCCATCGTGACCCAGCCCTAATTGGGGCCTCCTATCCTCTTGTGATACCCGTAAGCACAAGGATACTAAAATGAGAGAAGGGGAAGGTCTGACAGGCAGTTATGTGACTAGGGACGCTCAGGTTTAGGTTTCTTCTTGGAAGCACTCTGTAATGCAGCTCCCGCCAAGGGAGCAGCTACATAACCAGCACCCAGAAAATACACGCGCCTTAAGGGCAAGACGTGAAAAAAATTGGCCTAAATGGTTGCAAACTCCTTTGTTTTTAGTGGGCTTCATCTATTCACCCTCCAAACGGGTTTGGTCCATGAAGCCAGGCTGCAACAGCAGGAGTATTTTAGGTAGGCAGAATTGAATGGCTGAGACTGAAATTTGGCCAAGATCTTGGGTTTAATCCTCCTTCTCTTGTGAGAGGAGCCACCAAATGTTTAAGGTAGGTTTTCACTGAATGACAGACCTTGCTGGAGGGGCTGGTGCTACTGGCACTCACTGGAACATTTGGGAAAAACAGGTCAACCAAAAATCCTTTTGTTGGCTCTCATCTTTGAGAGTTACAGGAACTCAGAGATGAGAGATGGAGAAAATGGTCACTAGGGCATGCCCTGGCATTAGTAGCAGTAATTCACAGGCTCTAGCTGAGGATATCAGCAGTTTGCCAGCACCACCACAAGGCTGGGGGGTGATGCTACCCACACTGGGAAGTCAGGCACTTCTGGCTTCTATTGACTCACCTCAAGTCTTTCTGCAAAAGAAAATCAAACTGCAGTGACACCTGGGGCAGAGGATTTAATGGAGGTGGAAGAATGGCTGTTACAGACATGGTGCTGAAGCAGGACTCAGCATGTCTTCTCTAGTACTATCTCCAGTAGCTCTAGTTTCTCCCCCTGAAGAAACCCTTGCTATGCCTGTTCTGGGGCAGCCCGGCCACGGGAGCATGAAGCAGAGGACATTAGCCACCAGGCAGAGTTTGTCTTGCTTTGTGGACCTCAACTAGGTCAATAGTAGTTCCCTCTGCTCACCCCATGAGGTGCTGATGGCTGCAAGGTTGACATGCCATGGGAGGAGGAGGAGGGTTAGGAACCAACATCCTCTTCTCTGCAGTGAATTCAAACATCTCACAGCTTACATCCCAATGATTCTCAATATGACAATGTCTAAGGGGTTTAGGTGACTTGAAAACAGAAGCCAGATGCCTAAATAACAGAAACACTTTTAAAAATGACAGAGGATCTCACAAGGTCCCTTCTGTCCTGAATTCTCCTACAATCCTGTGAAATGTAGTTTATTCCCAGCTGTACCACAGCTCTGACTGTGACCTTAGGCAAGTTCCTACAGCTCTCCATCCCTCCCTCCCACCCTGCCTGCCCGCTCCGTGGAAACCCCTGGCCCTCCTGCACTGGGGCTGCTGCCCCTGGCATGGAGGGGGTAAAGGGAGCTAAGGGGTTTCGGGGTGCCAGCAGAAGGCAGCCCACGGCTGGAAGCAATCACCCACGCGCCCGGGCTCCCTTGTTATCCCTGTGGAAAACCGGGCAGCCCTTTCCTGCGGAAGAATTCTTCCAAGCAGCTCCGAAATCGGTAGCAAAGCAGTAAGGGAAGGCTGCCGGGAGTCGTGGAAGGCGAAGCGGCGACGGGAGGGGTATCTGGGAGGTGTTGGAGCTTCCCCGGCTCCCCATCCCGCCGGGGTGCTCTCACTGCTCCGGCAGCGCTTCGGCAGGCAACGTGAAGTCCCGCACCCCCCACCTCGCAGATGAGGATCTGATGAAGGAAACGAGTGATAGGAGGGGAAAAGCGGGATGAAAGGGGGTTGGAAAGCAAAGCACATCCCGGATTTCCCCGGGGAAGCAAAGCGGCTGCTGGGGGGGCGGGGAAGCGCACACGGTGGGTCGCGGCGAGTCTCCGGGGGGCAGGATTTCTCTTCCATCGCATGGAAGAGCGAGATTAAAGAAGAAAGTGGGAGTGGGGTGGGAG